TCAGAGATCGAGCGACTGCAGACAGGCGTACGGACAGGAGCGGGCAAGAGTGAAGAGAGGAAGATGGCTGACGTGACAAAGGACAAGGCCATTAAACTTACTGTCCGTGTCCTTGTCCCCGTCCGTGATCACCCTAAGGTAAGCATTTCCGCCTTCCTGTCCAAAGGAAAGGCTTTTTCCTTGAACAAATCCACAAGGGCCGTGACGAGGGTTCGAATCTACATCCGAGAGGATCATAGACGCTGCCTTTTTCCGTTGTCCGTGACCACGCTAAAGCTTACCCCTGACCCGAACACCCTGAGGTAAGGTTTTCATCGACCCGAACACCCTGAGGTAAAGCTTTTATCGACCCGAACACCCTGAGGTAAAGCTTTTATCGACCCGAACACCCTAAGGTAAGGCTTTCCCTAACAAGGTACCCTGATGTAGTCAGCTGTTGCGGGTTGCATCATGGGTCTGGTTAGGCCTAGGGGAAACTCGATAAACAAACCGGCTTCCTGTCCCCAACAGTGAGAAACCACATAGTGAGTTTCTTTTGGTACGCTGCCCCCCCCCCCCCTCCCCCTAACGTAGAAAATGGGATGCATTGAGAGGATGGGATGTACAATCCACATATACATTTCACTTCAAATTAATATATGTATACATACACATCAGTGAATTCATACATGGATGTACATCAGTGAGCTCATACATACATCAGTGAACTCATATGTACATACATACATTCATACATCAACTCTCCCCACACACACACATACACTCCTCAACGATTGCATACACATGAACACACCAATAAACTCACACATACACACATCAATGAACTCACACATACACACATGACCTCATACATACGCACAAACGGTCGCGTCTCTCACATACATGTTTTGTGATATGCAAATTAGTATCGGTTGGGAGGAATGTAATCACTAGATTCTAGTTAAGTATGGGGGGGCGGAAGATAGAGGGGGGCGGAAGATAGGGGGGGGGGGGAGAGGGACGGGGGGAGGGAGGGTTAAAAGGTGAGAAAATAGATAATTAAAAGTGCTAATCTAGTGGTGTGAACTGGGCTGAATCATTTTAAACTAAGTTGACCTTCAACCCGACTTGAATATAAATGACTCGACTTTACACCCGTTGCAAGACCTGACTTTACACTTAAATACTAAAATGGTCAGACTTGGCCTAAGTTCACTACACCGAGCCTGATGGAATTTGCGTTCGAAATGATGTGTCGACTTGGATGAGTTTAAATGTAGCCTACGTGATGGAAATTAGGCTTATAAATATATATTTAAAACACTTTAGGCTGTTTTGAACCGTGAAGGAACTTCTCTCATCTCTCTACGTCATTTTTTCATTTGCTGTTTCTCTTTTCTCCCTTCCTACCCCTTCTCATTTTGTTTTCCTATCACCTCTCCCTCTCTGCGGTTCCCTATTTCGTCCCATCTTTCAAACCGTCTCATCTTGCTCCTTCTCTCCATTCCCCCATCTCCCCATTCCCCTTATTCTCTCCGTTTCTCTCTTCCTCTTTTCATCCTTCTCCCTCCCTACCCTCACCGTCCAAGTTCCATTCACAAACACATAAAACCCAGATGCAGGATTTATACCTTCGGCCAAACATTCACTCAGCAGTTTACTTATGGGATTACTCAGTCCGCGGCAATAAATCCCTGGACAACGGGCTTTGGGGGATTAATGGATGGTTGACCATTAATATAGGATCTTTAACATTAAATTCCTGAATATATATGTCGAGTTTTCTTTCCTCTAATGTTTCGTAATGTACCAAAATATTAATATCTTATTTGATTCATCACTTTTCTATTGCAACGTATTCTCTAAGATCATTTTATAGGAATTATTTGATATTTTACTTGTCAGTGGAATAGCAAATACGATAAACTTGGCTGGCTAGACAAAGCAACCGAGATTAGAATGCTAGGCAAGGCTAGACCAGGCTACTCTACTCTTCTAGATTAGTCTAGTCTATAATAGGTTAGTTTAAACTATACTAGGCTATCCTAGACAATACTAGGCTACTCTAGAATATACTAGGCTAGTCTAGACTATAATAAGTTAGTCTAAGCTATACTAGGCTAGTCTAGACCATAATAAGGTAGTCTAAGCTATACTAGGCTATCCTAGACTATTCTAGGCTACTCTAGAATATACTAGGCTAGTCTAGACTAAAATAAGTTAGTCTAAGCTATACTAGGCTATCCTAGACTATTCTAGGCTACTCTAGAATATACTAGGCTAGTCTAGACTAAAATAAGTTAGTCTAAGCTATACTAAGCTAGCCTAGACTATACTAGGGATTTTTTAAACCGCGGGTTCCGACCAATTAGTGGATCGCAAAATAAATCAAATGGGTCGCGACAAACCAAAAAAAAAAAAATCCACACAAAATAAGCCAGTGTGAGAGACAATCTCATTCTCAACTCATTACTCAACCTTACAATAGACGAGAGTGATATGGTATGCTTGTTACCGGGCGATTGGTGCTCAATTGCTGTAGTTTAGTAGTTCATTTACGATGATTTTGAGCAATTCAATTTATCATAATTTTGGGATTAACGTTAAAAGGAGAATTTCCACTTTTAAATAAAACTGTTACCGATACTATCACCTATTACTACAACTTATTTGAGTAAATTTAAATTTTCCATATGAATTTTAATTTAATTTAATTTTACCCCGAGGGGGCGAGTTTATTGGGCAGCGCCACTCATGCTGTGAGTGGACACACCGCCATAGCAGCATGTACAACATTCCCCAATAGGAAGAAAACCCGCTGGGTTGTTCATCCTGTCTTGTACCCAGACACAGCTGGGACTTGCTTAACTGTCTCAAGATATGAACTCAATTGAAAACGAGACAGAAACCAACGCAACATTGCAATAAACATGTAGCAGTCGTCCTGTGTTTCAAACTTTAACCAACTACTTACGAACAGACAACCACATCCTTTTCACTATATGAAAAGCGGGGAAAAAATAGACATTGTTAACCGTGTCAGTTTTGTTAGAATTACATGCAAAATGTTTCTCTTTCTTTTCTATATAATTCCTAAAAATGTAAATATGTTATGTAATTGGAAAGGTTCCATCCATAAATATGCTAAATCTAGACTACACTAGGCTAGTTTAGACTACACCAGGCTAGTGTAGACTACACTAGGCTAGTGTAGACTACACTAGGCTAGTGTAGACTATACTAGGCTAGTGTAGACTACACTAGGCTAGTTTAGACTACACCAGACTAGTGTAGACTATACTAGGCTAGTGTAGACTACACTAGGCTAGTGTAGACTACACTAGGCTAGTGTAGACTATACTAGGCTAGTGTAGACTACACTAGGCTAGTTTAGACTACACCAGACTAGTGTAGACTATATCAGACTAGTGTAGACTATACTAGGCTGGATAGAAGAATCAAATTATACCGAAATAAGCGAAATAAAACATCTTAGTAAACCGGACTATCCTAACACATTTGTACTCACCACAGACGGTAGCCTTCAAGATGGCGAGGCTTGGTGAAGAGAATTTATATATTTTCACCTCCCATGGTTCTTCTAGTTTTATTTTTTCAACTTTACCATTGTTTCTAGATCACCTTTGATTATGTCATTAATAGTGTAAGTTTGCGTTAGTTTGTTTCTGTGATTAATGATATAGGAGGGGTATTGTTTGATTGTCTACGATATAGGAGGGGTATTTGATTTATAACCTTTGGTTATAAAATATATATAATTTATTGTTATATATATATATATATATATATATATATATATATATATATATATATATATATATATATATATATATATATATATATTTTATACACTTGATAAATAACCTTTGGTTATAAAATATATTTATTTTATGCACTTGATTTATAACCTTTGGAGCACTTGAGACGATCACTCACTTAACACTTTTTCTTACACTAGTGCAACACTTAATGGAGGGGCGGGGGGTCACGCACTTAACACTTTTTTCTTACTTTTTAACTTTTCTAAGTTTTTTAACTTAAGTTTTAGTTTTTTTTCATAGTTTGTACTAACTGGCCGTTGTGAAGACACTGACTGAACACTCAAACTATTAAACTGGTGACTTTTCCCGACTCACTGTTGGTTCAGGAGACGTTAACACCACTAGATATAAACTCCAGCAGTCGTGTCTGCTCAACTTCTTCAGCAGACCGGGTTGAGATTGACGTAGTTGATCGTTCCCATCATGGGGGAGAGAGGGAAGAAGAATTATCAGGGGGGGGAAGTGCCAAGCCATTACGACTATATAGCACTGGGAAGGGATTAGGATGAGGATTTGGGGATGGGACGGGTGGTGGAAGGGATTGGTGCCCAATCACTTAGATGATCGGGGGATTGAATGCCATTTTGAGGCTGATAACACACTTGGGCAGTTAATTTGATGAATTACGGAAGCGTGTGGCACCTTCCCTGTTGAACAATTTAGAGGATGTTGATCCAGATCTCTCATTTAAAAGATCAGATGTAACTCAAACAAGGAGCATTCCCCCCCCCCCCCCCCACGATGGTCTTGATCGATAACTGCGTCGTATCAATCCGAGCCGTTGGAGAGGTATAAGCTTGACGGCAGAGTCGGGACCCAATGGCTAAAACCCGCATTAATGTGGGTTCCAGGCGGAGAAGTGTCCGTACTTCCGTCTGTCGTCACGGCTGACACGCCACTGACGGTTGGCTGCTTCCCGCCTAGCAGGTCATGTCGGAACAAAAACGGAGATCTTTTTAATTTTCCTTTTCTTTCATATTTCACACATTTATCTTAAAAAAACATAAGATTTAATTAACAATAACTGCAAAAAATCCGATTTTAACGTTGTAAACTGAAACGTGTTCGTGAAATTGACTGGATTCAAACGGATAAATCGAGTGACTTTAGTGCTTGTCAGCTGATCTAAAAACTAATTTCTCTACGTTCATCTAGTAGCTTTTTTTTCAGCATTAAACGTCTAGCGGTTCTTTTTTCGACATTTAAAGCTTAGTTACTAGTTGGATAGGTTACTAGTAGGAGTCGTAGTACTAGTTGCAGGTATAAGTTAATAGTATTGTTCACCCAGCAGTGAATGGCTGGTTGTTAAATAATTTTGGCGGGTCGAATTCCTTTGAAAAATTAGGATTAATGACCTGCCCGAAACGCTATGCGTGCTAGTGGTTTTACAAGAATGTAAGAACTCTTGTGTACATAAATAAATAAATAAATTAATTAATAAAAGGATCTTTTAGATCTAAAAGGATCTATTTATTTAAATAAATACATAAATTAATTAATAAAAGAATCTTTTAGATCTAAAAGGATCTATTTATTTAAATAAATAAATAAATAAATTAATAAAAGGATCGTTTTCTGTATTACAAATATCGTTTTCTGTCTTACAAGCCTATCAGCTCCGTTTTCTTTATTACAAGCGCAGAGAGTTCCGTTATGTATTTACCTGAATTTACCAGAGGGCTACTGTCTCTCTAGTGGCCTCGACGAGGATAGGAAGCCGGCGGCTTGTCAAAAGTTCCTTATTCGTCCTGATGATTTTATTGAGCAGGATCTTAAAATGCAGAAACGTCTCGTAATTTATGACTTCAATGGGTAAGCGGTGAAGTCAGATGTTCCTCTGACTGTTCCTAGAGGTTTGGTTGGATTTTTTTTTTAACTGCAGCTCCAAGTGGTTACAAGAACTCATGCATACTGTAATAGTTGTTGCTGTTGTTTTAGATTCAGCCACTGGGGACAAAAAAGGTTGCACGGGCTATGGTGATCCCGAAGTGGACTTACTTGGCACAGGAGCGGGGCTGTAACTATATATCTTGAGATCTTGAGGTTATCTTAAGATGATTTCTGGGCTTTAGTGTCCCCGCGGCCCGGTCCTCGACCAGGCCTCCACCCCCAGGAAGCAGCCCGTGACAGCTGACTAACTACCAGGTACCTATTTACTGCTAGGTAACAGGGGCATTCAGGGTGAATGAAACTCTGCCCATTTGTTTCTGCCTCGTGCGGGAATCGAACCCGCGCCACATAATTGAGTCCTGCGCGCTATCCACCAGGCTACGAGGCCCCTATATGTAATAGTTCGTGTATAGCAGCATATGTATGTTTGGTGTTCAGAAAGAGGGGAGCAGGGTACAAAGTGAGGGGAACAGAGGACCCCTCGGCCACGTGGGAATGGTGAACAACGTTGTGGGAGTCCGCCAGTGGGCTGAGAACTCAAGGGGAGCAGCAACCCGCCCCTCGGCTAGGAAAGGTGAGGCCCAAGACCTGAAGATCGACTCTGCAGGCACAAATAGGTGAGCACACTCACACAATATACACTACTTCAGTGTTTGTCTTGGAATGGAATCGAACTCAGTTTTTTGGTTTGGGAATCGAGGGCGCTGACCACTTGGCCACAAGAACCTCTGACGAGGAGAGGGGATGAGGAGAGAGGAGAGAGAGAGAGAGAGAGAGAGAGAGAGAGAGAGAGAGAGAGAGAGAGAGAGAGAGAGAGAGAGAGAGGAGAGAGGAGAGAGAGAGAGAGAGAGAGAGAAGAGAGAGAGAGAGAGAGAGAGAGAGAGAGAGAGAGAGAGAGAGAGAGAGAGAGAGAGAGAGACAGAGAGAGAGAGAGAGAGAGAGAGAGAGACCCACATTAGTTGTGTTACCGTGTATGTCCCATATCTCTCTCTCTCTCTCTCTCTCTCTCTCTCTCTCTCTCTCTCTCTCTCTCTCTCTCTCTCTCTCTCTCTCTCTCTCTCTCTCTCTCCCTCCCCCTCCCTCTCCATCTCCCTCTCTCTCTCTCTCTCTCTCTCTCTCTCTCTCTCTCTCTCTCTCTCTCTCTCTCTCTCTCTCTCTCTCTCTCTCTCTCGCTCTCTCTCGCTCTCTCTCTCCCCCTCTCCCCTCCCCCCCCTCTCTCTCTCTCTCTCTCTCTCTCTCTCTCTCTCTCTCTCTCTCTCTCTCTCTCTCTCTCTCTCTCTCTCTCTCTCTCTCTCTCTCTCTCGCTCTCAACGTCAACCGGTTTTTTTATAACACTGTTCTAACCGCATTCCATTTTCTATTTCCTGGTGCAGTTCAACTTCGTGGGGAAGCTGCTGGGACCGAAGGGCAACTCCCTGAAGAGGCTGCAGGAGGAGACGATGACCAAGATGGCTATCCTCGGGAGGGGCTCCATGAGAGACAAGCAGAAGGTGGGTAGCCCACACACACACACACACGGGGGATCCAAGAGTCAATGCTCGATCCTGTAGACACAACTAGGTGAGTACACACACACACACACACACACACACACACACACACACACACACACACACAAAACACGACCATCACGTCTATAACCATTGACAGGTACTCTTGCACTGCCAGATAAGGTAAGGCCAACCTTTGATAAATCCCAAAGTTGCCTGAAACACCGCCAAATAATTTACCTTGAAGAGTTATACACATTTGCGAATGTTTCTAGAAATGAGTTTACCTCAGGTCTCTCTGAGAGCCTAATGCGTCTTCGAAAGTTTAATGAAAATTCGAGTGTTTAAATTTCGAGGGACTTAAAGCACAACACACTTGAAAAGCACACACACAGGCTTGAAGCACTGCTAGAAACTATTAAAGTGGGGAAAAATATAGTTGGGATATTTTAAGAATATTCTAGTTTAAGTCTTATATCTATATTCAACCCGTTTTCTTTATTTACCACTTTAGAAAATGCAACCGGTTTTCTTAACCACAAACTCATGAAGAATAGAAAACGTGCATTTTTTACGGTGCTATAATGTTAACTAATACGTCTCATTTACGTCGGTTTGGTTGATTTCGTAAAAATATTCGACGTGTTATGCGAGGCGGGAGTTGCGTGGTGACCGCCGGCCGGGTCGGACGTTCCTGAGGTCTCTCCGCACTGGCTGGTGTTTACGTTGGGTGATCGCTTGTTTGCCCTGTGGTGGTGGTTTGCCAATGACGGGGTGACGTTTGCTTCGCCATGGGGACGTTTCGCCCTCCATTGCAGAGGACGCTGTCAGCTGGTCTGGCGTTTACGGTGCCGGTGGACCATCCATTGGTTGGTGTTGCCCTAGTGGACGTGCTGCAGGTGCAGCTGTCTGACCTGGTGGGCATCCAGCTGCTTCAGGGCCACCGTGCTGTGGTCAAGTTCCGCCTCCAGGCTGCCTTTCAGGCGTTTCTCGAGCGGTGTGAGGGGCGTGTTTACCCTCTCCCTGCTACTGCTGGCTCCGTTAAGGTAGTGAACCTTAGTGTCACCTTGACGTCTGTGACGGTGCATGGTGCCCCCTTCGAATTTCAGGACGACTTTTAACCTCCTGTTTCGAGCGGTTTGGGACAGTGTTGAGTGTTCGTTGGAACAAGGTCGTTGCCGGGCACTGTGTTGGTATGCTTGACGGCTCCCGCACCCTGACGATGTCGCTGAAGGGTAGTGTACCGTCGTCGATGTCCGTGTTGGGATACACGCTCCGCTGCCAGTATCGGGGTCAACCGCGCACCTGTTATCGGTGTGGTCACGAGGGTCATCTGGCTGCTGCGTGCGACGTGGGAGCGACTGGTCGTGTGCATGTTCTTCGTGCGGAGGATTTTCCGCCCCTGTTGCGTTCGGGCGGTGTGGGTTGCTGTGCCTGAGGCGCCTGACTGCCTGTCTGCTGCTCCGCCTGTTGAGAAGAGCTCTACGGCCTGTGCGACACGTCTCGTGCAGCTGTGGCCCTGGGGTTGTTGAGCCGGTGTGTGAGGGTGTCGGGCTGTCGCCTGAGCTGTGTGTCGTGCAAGGTGTCCCGGTGGAGGTTCATGTTCCGCCCCCGCCTGTGGATGTGTTACCGGCTCCCGGGGACGCGGGTTCTGCCGTTTTGGAGGGGGTGCTTCGGCGTGGTGAGGTGCCTGCCGTGCCTGAGTGTGTTGCCTCCTGTAGTTCTGCTCTCCCCATTCCTTTGCAGAAGCGTGCGCGTCGGTGTTCTGAGGCTGTTTCCGTGGATGATGTAGACAGTGTGGGTGATGTGGCCTCTGTGGACTCTTCGGACGGTGCGGGTGTGGCCTGTGGGGGTATGACGGTGGAGGCTGTGCCTGCGGCGGGGCCTGCTGGGCGTGGTGTGGTGCGGCCTGTCTCGAAGCGTTCGCGGCGGGCTCGGAGTGTCTCCCCCCTACGTGGTGTGCCTTGGGAGGAGGTGGGGGAGTATGGTGCTCAGCTGGCGTCCCCCGCCGAGGATGATGGTGCTGTGAGGGGCTCCGACGTTGCTCCCTGTGCCCCCCCTCCTGCGTCTCCTGCTGTTGGGTCCCCGCAGTGGGGGGTTGTCCCTGATGGTCGGGACCTCGTTGTGAAGTTGCGGAAAGATGTGCGCCAGGGAGCCTCGGCTCCTGTGCCCTGTGGTGGGGTCGCTGCCGCGCCTGCAGTTCCCCCTCCTTCCTTGCCCCGGTCTGGGGGTTGCCTAGTCCCGTCTGCTGGGGTCGTGCCCTGTGAGGGTCCGGAGTTGGGCCCTTATCGGGATGCCCGGGTGCTTCCGATCCCGTGGTGCTCGTCAACCATCTGGGTGTCGTCTAAGAAGGAGTTTGTTTATAGGGTGCCGGATAGGATGTCTCAGCCGAAGATACAGCCTGATGGCCGGCTGCCCGCCGACCTGTGGGTGGTTTGGGAAGCGTACCGCTTGCGCTTTCCGTACCGTAAGTTTCCGGAGAAATATTAGTTCCCGTCTTGCGCCCACCGCTACGCCGTGCCTGGATCAGCTGCCACCGTGACCATGACGCCCCGCCCCCGGTGCGGGGAGTCTCCCTCTGACGTTCGCCTCTGTTTTCGTCGCCACTCCTCTCTCTACGGCCCATCACATCTCCCGCTTTTGACTTTCTTCTCCTCTTTACCATCAACGCGTCTCCTTACGTCTGTCCTGGTGCAGTCATCGGGAGGGTTACCCCTTCATGCAAACTGCACCTATTCTCAAGAAGAAGAAGTTATGCGAGGCTAGTTAGGATCTTCGCTCCCAGCGACCTGCTGGAGACAACACCCCGAAAGTTCGTTAAAACGCGCCTTCGCTATCGAGCTGGTTTAGTGCCAATTTAATGTTGTTTATATATGTTTGATATTTGTTATTGTCTGACTCTAGAACTGCCACTCGTCATGTCGACCCCGAGGGCGTTCTGGGGCAGGCCGCCAGGTGTAGTATTGTGAGGTAGAAAAGTTCCACAATATTGACCTTAAAGAGCAACCTTGAATGATCACGTTTGATCTTCAAAAAAGACATTTGACCTTGGAGAATGACGTTTGACTTTGAAGGATAACTTTAGCTTTGAAGAATAAACTTTAACCTTTGGATATGTTGTACATATATGACTATTTTAACCTTTGGATATGTTGTACATATATGACTATTTTAACCTTTGGATATGTTGTACATATATGACTATTTTAACCTTTGGATATGTTGTACATATATGACTATTTTAACCTTTGGATATGTTCTACATATATGACTATTAAGCTGACCACCAGGAATGATTGTCAATGTTTTATATATTAACTCAGAATAACCTTTGACCTCGTAGTCATCAACAATCCCTATATTATAAGTAAATTACGGTAACTGCACCACTGATTACGTAATTACCTTAGGACGAACAAGCAAGAATGAGCTGTAACTCGTGTTAGCACAATTTGTTAACTGTTAAATATGGTAAAATGTTAAATAAAATAAATAAATAAATGTTAAATAAAATAAATAAATAAAATGTTAAATAAAATAAATAAATTAATAAATAAATAAAATGTTAAAATAAAATGGTAAGATGTTAGCTGACCTTCAACCAGAGACCTTTGTTGCGTAGGAAAACTGGCCAACCCGCCAGGAATTATCAAGCATTTACGAAACCAGTGCATCTTTCCTCAATCATAGAGGTTTTGACTTTTACTGAACAGGTTATTAAGAGCCCCGAGGGATTACGAGATTGTAACAATAATAACATTGGGTTGTGATGTTTCCAAGCTCGTGAACTGTTTAGTGTCAACAAAGTCGCCATGATTGATGAAAGATGTAAAGGTTTCGCAAGTGAATAAGCGCTTAATTAATCCTGGCCTAGCTAATTTAACAGTTATCCCGACCTGTCAATGCACACGAGAGACATCTCCCGTCACGCAGGGTGCAGTTGCACCTCCACTGATCTCCAGTATCAGCTCTTGATACTGGAAATGGCTCCAAAGGGCCACCACTTACGGGCTATTCATGCCCGTGCCACCTCTTAGGTGGCTTAATCTTCATCAATCAATCTGTCAATGCACAATTAATATTTGGCCCTTGCAGGAGGAGGAGCTACGTGTATCAGGCGACCCCAAGTTCAATCACCTGAGTGAGGACCTACATGTAGAGGTGACAGCTGTGGCGCCGCCCGCGGAGGCCCACGCCCGTATCGCTTACGCCCTCACAGAGATCCGCCGCTACCTGGTGCCGGTGAGTACCCGCAACCCGCACCGATTGTGCTCGTCCTACACGACAATGTCAACCTCATTTGTATAATTGAAGACATCAGACTTGACAACCACGAAACTGCTAGTTCTTAACTAGCATGTTACCTACGACATTCATTCAAGAATTATTTAAAAGTTTCTTGTTATAATAAAACCAAGTTCAAATATTTGTATGTAAATACTATTTAGTTAAAAATATTTAATAAAAAAAAATTATTAAAATTCTTTAGAATTTAGATTATAAATTTTAATAACAGTAAATAAAAATATAATGAACCACTTTTGTTTTGAAGGATAAAAGATTTATAACAGTTATTACTAAAATACAATGTAATAAAACATAGCAAAATGCAAGGGCAAACTTTACATATGAAAGGTTGGAGAAATAAATATAATAAACTTAAATATAAGATTTGTTGAACTTATAAGAAAGAATTTAATATATGAAATAGACTGATTAGAAAATATAATATACTATATTAATATATAGACTGTAGGGATTTAATATATAAAGCAGAAGGCCGGGATTTAACATATAGAATATAAAAGTGTGAATTTAGAGATTGTTGTAATAACTTAGCATTAAACAGTACTAAAAGGACACACAAGGAATCACACTAACTTGATAAAAAGCGCGACAGAGGTTATTCAGGACGCTGGTTCGAGTTCTATCCTGCTCCAGTAATTTCCTCAATACTACAAGGAATAATATCAGATATATTTTTGAGATGCAGTTGTTTGACTCGCGTGTGTTTATGAAGACGCTGTCTAACGCAGGTGTTGTTGTTGTTGCCTCAGGAAGTGAAGATGTTTTAATTATATGTTGTTTTCTCTCTCCCCGTCTCTCCTCCACTTCCTCTTTACGAATTCTCTACCTGTTTCTCACTTGATTTTCTTTCCCATTTCTCACTTATACATATCTATTTCCCGTCTCTTATTCTCTCCTTTACCGCTTTTCCGATGTGTCTTATTTTGTCTTTTCCTCCGTCTTTTTTCACTACATTTCTTTACAAACCATTCTGCTTCACTTTTTACCCTCGCCGTCTCTTCTCCCCCCCCCCCGGTTCCTCTACTCTCCTGACCTATCTTTTATCTGTTGTTGTATGACAATCTTCTCTCTCTCTCTCTCCCTCCCCCTACCTTTCTTCCCCTTACTTTCCCTTGTCTTTCCCACAGGACTACAACGATGAGATCCGTCAGGGACAGATGAGGGAGATGCAACTACTGGTGGGGACCCACTCCTCTCCCCTCGCCAACAACAATAATAACAACAACGGCACGACCTGTGGGTCTGAAGAGGGGTCGTGTTCCCCTCAGTCATCTGGCTCTCCCCCTCCCCCGAGCGTGGGTGGAGGGCGTGGGACGGCTGTAAGGGGCTCAGGGCTCAGTCTAGCCTCCCCTCACCCAGCCCTCAGGGGACTCAACAGAGCCCAGGCCGCCCTGCTGACCTGTGGTGAGTGAAAGAGAGACGGGGAGGATAGACGGAAGGGGTGGACAGAAGGGAAGACAGAGGGGAAGTGGAAAGGAGGGGAAAAGGTGGAATAAACATTGACAGTGGCGGGGGAAAGGAGAATAGCAAGGTATTTCTAAATCTATGTAAAACAATTTCTAAACCACCTGCCTTCCTGAGGTCCCCAGCCAGCTGCCTATGGGAGATCGTCAGGCCGAAGGGATCTGTTTTTTTTTTTATTTGGACATAAAGGTTATTCTAATCTATGGACCTAATGAAGAGAACGAGGAAGAGTAAGTGTGTGCCTAACCCAACAGTATGAGAGGCCATGGGAGGTGTAGGTGAATGGTATCATACCACAGTTCTAAGGTGTTATAATGGTGTTGGGATAATGCCTCTCAACCTCTGCAGGGTTATTAAGGCCACCACAATAACCTACTGACCAACAATCAAGTATAATTTAGTCGTAAACAGCACCATGCAACGTTATCTTGAGATGATTTCGGGGCTTTAGTGTCCCCGCGGCCCGGTCCTCGACCAGGCCTCCATCCCCAGGAAGCAGCCCGTGACAACTGACTAACACCCAGGTACTTATTTTACTGCTAAGTAACAGGGGCATAGGGTGAAAGAAACTCTGCCCATTGTTTCTCGCCGGCGCCCGAGATCGAACCCGGGACCACAGGATCACGTGTACAGCGTGCTGTCCGCTCGGCCGACCGGCTCCCTAATCGTTACAACTAGGGACCGTTAGTAATAAGCCCAGGCTATATGGAAAAAACTGGGCTCCCATTTGAAACTACTCATTAAGTATGGGTATGAAAATCAATTTGAGGAAATGATTACCAGGCGGCTGTCCTTAACTGCAATCACCAGGTCGCCAGTTCAATCACCAGGTCGCCAGTTCAATCACCAGGTCGCCAGTTCAATCACCAGGTCGCCAGTTCAATCACCAGGTCGCCAGTTCAATCACCAGGTCGCCAGTTCAATCACCAGGTCGCCAGTTCAATCACCAGGTCGCCAGTTCAATCACCAGGTCGCCAGTTCAATCACCAGGTCGCCAGTTCAATCACCAGGTCGCCAGTTCAATCACCAGGTCGCCAGTTCAATCACCAGGTCGCCAGTTCAATCACCAGGTCGCCAGTTCAATCACCAGGTCGCCAGTTCAATCACCAGGTCGCCAGTTCAATCACCAGGTCGCCAGTTCAATCACCAGGTCGCCAGTTCAATCACCAGGTCGCCAGTTCAATCACCAGGTCGCCAGTTCAATCACCAGGTCGCCAGTTCAATCACCAGGTCGCCAGTTCAATCACCAGGTCGCCAGTTCAATCACCAGGTCGCCAGTTCAATCACCAGGTCGCCAGTTCAATCACCAGGTCGCCAGTTCAATCACCAGGTCGCCAGTTCAACTCACTCCATCGCCTCAAAATTATAAAAGAACTAGAGCGATTTATAAAAAAAAAAAAATGGGAATGGCAAGCAATTTTATTTAAGTAGGTTTCCCCCCCTTCAAAAGAGTAGCGAGGCCCATGTTATTTGTGCCCAACCTGTTCCACCCCCAACCCCCAATCTGCCCAGGCGTGTTCACGGGCAACAAAGCCTCCCAGGAAGGTCCGTCAAGTCATGCCTTGGTTGTGTGAACTAACAAATTACATACAACAGGTACATGAGCAATTAGTATGTGTAACTTTAAACTCGTTCTTTCTCTCTCTCAAACAAAAATAAAATAAAATACTCCTCCACGGTACAGAATTTAATAAAACAATTTTTCTCTTACCAAGATACCCCAAAAAACTAATTATACTAGCTTGTATTTTTATTTATTTCGCTTCAAAGAAATTTACACAGAAAATGTATAATATAATTTGTTGATAAATTCACTAAAATGTTGATAATGTGCATTAAAATAATAATAATGATCTGTATAGGATACAAATTATAATGTAATATAATTATCTAACAATATGGATAGTTATTTTAAGTTAATGCTTACAATTATTACATAATAACAGAGGATAACCTAGAAGATAAATATGATTGTTACCCATAAATAAAGAAAAGCATGGCTCCGACGTCTGTCAATAAAATTATGGTAATCATGTTTATGTTAAAAATGAGTGAAATATTAATTAATATAATTATAATAACCAACATGAAAGGCATCTATGTGCTATTCATTTTATTGTTTTTAATAATAGTTTAGTGGTCGAGTATGAGGCTTGGCAAGGCCGATGTTGTAGCTTCGCCCCCAACTCATTGCCCTAGTGAAGTTTCTCAATAATATGATAATGATATTAAAAATAATAACAATATTTAGAATTATAGAGTAGTTTATCGCTTCATTCTTTATATAATTTTTAAGGCAATAATTATTTCACAATGAAGTAAAAAAAAAAGGATCGAATTTGCGTTCTTGGGCTCCGCAGACACACACATTACCGACTAAACCATGACTTCCTATAAGTGCTGTATAGGACCGGTACGACTTCTCATCATGGTCCAGTCGTTAGTGAATGTATCTGGGGAGTCCAAGAGACGCGTGTTCGATCCCATCGTACTGCCACAATGATTACTATTCTCATTATTTTCAGTATCTTTTCTCCTACGCTGACCTTCTTCCCCACAGTGCCACACTCTCCCCCGTCAGCGCCTGCTGCAGGTAAGGGAGAGCTGGTAAAGACTCGTGGCAGCGCTGCTGGAGGCGCCGGAGGAGGAGGAAGGAGGTCAGTACTCTCCCTCCTGACGAGAGCCAGAGCCATGCAACAGAAGGAACAGGAACTGATGGATGTCTACCACGAGCTCCCCGGGTAAGAAGGTGGTGGAGGGTGCAGTAGTCGCTTTTACTGTCAGGTAAACCTTTCACCCTGCTTGGGAATCGAACTTGGGTCCAACCAGTTGAGAACCGATTGAGTCACAATAATATGGTTGAAGATTAGACACCTAACATATAAATCCGATAACGATGAATTGACAACGTTTCGGTCCGTCCTGGACCGTTTATCAAGTCCAGGACGGACTGAAACATCGTCAATTCTTCATTTTCAGATTTGTGTGCCGGGTGACTAACTACAGACCTTAGAACTCTATGTTATATTTAGTTACAAGGTTCGTCTTTCCTAATTATTTCACTATTCTCCTCCACACTATACTTTTTTTAAACCCTACATGACACATACGCCATATGCATGTATATGCATATGGCGTATGCACGTGTACATGTACGTATGTTTATCTATGTATGAATACGTAATTATCTGCATACAGATAATTGTAGGCGCTGGATCGTGCAAGCTTAACTTCCTTGCATTCAGATTGAGATATTGTTTTATCATATAAAAACGCTATTCATAAATGGTTGTACATCTATAATTGAGACACTTTACTTAAAAGTACAGTACATTAATTACATGAGTCACACTAACAGCACATAGACTTTATCATAGCTCACTATTTGGTGTTGGGCTCAAGGCCATTGAACCTCTTCAGGGCTGAATAAGGCTAACACAAGATCTTACCAATTAACCATCAAGTATGCATCAATACTATAGATATCTTAGAAGGATTATACACTAAGTTTTTATGAATACGAAAAATTATGATATAGCTACATTCACATTTAGCTTGAATGTCTGTAGGGCATTGAAAAGTCGAAGGCGGAAGGGGGGAGGAAGAAAATTGAGTAGAAATTCTGGAAGAGGATGTGGACGGGGCATGATGAGTTTAAAAAGTTCGGTAGCCTATCCACCGCGGTTTGGCGTCGAATGTTTTTCGTGGTTCTTGGTCTTGGCTTTGTGCTTGGGCGGCGGGAGGCGGCACGGTAGGCTGTGTTTATAAGATATGATATAAGCTTGTGGGAAATGTAATAATATGGCATATCATGGGGTACAAACTAGTTTTATAGACAGTGAACTTCCTACCTGGAAGGGAGTGGAAAAGGCCGTCCGGATTAACTTATGGGATTAGCGCTCGTGTCCAAGCAAGTTTGCCTATTCAATTTGTGGTAGTCTTGTGAAATACTTCCACGGATTGCACTTACTTTAAATAGTTAAGAGACCTCCTTATATGTAAAATGAGTAGTAAAGTGTTTTATAAAATTATGTAGGGGTACCATCCTGTGTATTTGAGTTCAGGGAATGGGTAACGTGGTTGATTTATCAAAGTTATACATGAGTCGTCTCAGGTCAGCTAGGAGCCATGTGGTTTGAAGCTTGCCAAGCAAGTTTGATTTCATTCAATATGCAATACAGTATTATCAGGCAATACTGTCGGTATTCACTTAACAACTTAAGTCTTGTTCACTTACCTAGGTATTTACCACCATTTTAGAGTACAGAGTCAGTCAGTTAAAGTGGCCCAAGTGCATATTAATCAAGTCTTGGTAATTAAGTGAGATAACTAGTCTGGCAATCAACCAAGGCGGCCTCTCATAGGTTTGAGCGCGAATTAGTCGGTGTGGGTTGGAGGCGGCAAGGAGTGGTCCCCACGCCTAAGGGAAGAGAAGGCCATAACATCGGCAGTTGTTGATATTTTAAGGCTTGTGTTGAGTTATTGTGTACATTAGGATCCAATTATCATTGCCTCAAGGTTAGGAAATATAAGCTAGGAAGTGCATTACATATACTTTTGTGAATAAACGGACTTATTGAATAACTTGTGTTTAGCCAATCCCCCTCAATTTATTTCTGGGTCCACGATCCTGAACTGTTGTGTTGTTAATTTCATACGGTCCTACAAGCACCCTCATAGATTAAAATATTCCCCCTTGGCCCCTTATCTGATTTAAGATGCTTTTAAAGTAATTCGATTCCCTCCTTTTCACTAATTGGGGATACAGATTCTTAGTATTCTCCTGCGATTGACTGGTCCTCCTCCACAGTCAATTAGCTTAATTACACAGGGTCATTAAGAGAAGGTGGTGGCAGTGTGAAGGTTATTTTGTGTAAATCTGGATATAATACAGGTTGTAAGTGTTTGTAACTGGTAATAGCAGAGTTCCTGGTACAAGTGGCACTTGGTGGTCAAATGCCAACGAGTATAAGGCAAAACGGAGGCTAAAGTTACAACAGCAAACGTTGAACAACGTAACCGTTACAAACTTCCAATTTGAGACAGAGCTTAGAGAGAACTCATAGAGTACAATGTCGATGGGTGTAACGCCGGCGACGTCTTTGAGGACTTTTAGAAGATCGTTCTTGTTAAATTCATGGTAGTCGAGGGAGGGTAGTCTTGACTTTGAAGTGTTTGTAATGCATTGTAGTCACCCCGTAAAGTTCAAGTATGTTTATTGAGGAAAGAAAATGCATCTCAAAGGGAAAGAGTAGGATAGGCTATTTCTATCCCTCCCCCCGTCACCCAACTCAACGGGATGCAATGGCGGTGAGCAGTTTAGTTGAATTATTATGTTTGCTCCAGACTCTCGCCACGTGAATTCAGATTCTAATTTATCATGCCTGAACCCAGCAGTACTCCAAATATAAAAAATAAATATATTCTTTCATTTTTACCTATTTAAAACTTGTTATGCTATTTTGACTCTCCTGATATTTGTTCCTCCTTCCGTCTTTACAGCAAGTTTAGTTTTTATATTTAAAATATTTCAACTTTTCTTGCATGTAAACGTACGTAATTTACACCATGTGTTATGTGTAAACGTACGTAATTTACACCATGTGTTATGTGTAAACGTACGTAATTTACACCATGTGATATGTGTAAACGTACGTAATTTACTTTTACACCCTGCTATGTTTAAGAGCACCTAATTTACACATGATATGTATTTTAAGTCTAAATGTAGGCAATTTACACCATGTGTTATGTGTAAATGTATGTAATTTCTCTACTAATTCATAATGTACGTACTTGCAGTTATGGCTTATATGACCACCTGACGGAACTGCCTCTCTCTGAAGCAGGTGCTGAGGAAGTGACAGGTGAGGAAGGAGAGAGAGAAGGAGGGAGGGAGGGAAGGAGAAAATCAAGAAAGGATGTACTGAAATAGAAGACACACACACACACACACACACACACACAATAGGGTAGATAAAGACAGTCTATTTTACACAAGGGGACACAGGTGGAAACTGAGTGCCCAAATGAGCCACAGAGATATTAGAAAGAACTTTTTTAGTGTCAGAGTGGTTGACAAATGGAATGCATTAGGAAGTGATGTGGTGGAGGCTGACTCCATACACAGTTTCAAGTGTAGATATGATAGAGCCCAATAGGCTCAGGAATCTGTACACCTGTTGATTGACGGTTGAGAGGCGGGACCAAAGAGCCAGAGCTCAACCCCCGCAAACACAACTAGGTGAGTACACACACTCAACCACAAATACACTCACCCACACATACGCAAATTCTCCACGAAAAATACCCAAATGTATTTTACATATTAAATAAGGCTTCTTAACATATTCACCAATTTAGCTAAGTCTCTTGTAATCAAATGTAAATTTGATAATGTTAATTTCATTCTTATTTATGAACTTAGAAAAAGACAGGAAATATTTTTGGTAGCCTAACAGTAGTGGTAATGGAATAGGAATAGTGGAACTATTCATAGCAGTAGAAGTATTAATAGCACTATATATATATATATATATATATATATATATATATATATATATATATATATATATATATATATATATATATATATATATATATATATATGGCACAACTCTCCTAAACACGAGAGTCAAGTATACAACTTTAGAACACTTTCCCACCAGGAGACTCGAACCCTAGCCAGCACAGAAGCCTTCCAGCAACTGGCATAACAGGTACGCCTTAACCCTCTCCACCACCTGCTCAGACCCTTAAAAGAGATGGTAATTTCGGAGTATTTAAATACCACAAAGATCACCACCTCCCAAGAGCACTAGAGCAAGTGAGGGGTCATTTAGACGTTAATTTCATCAAGTCCCTGTTAATATGGGAAGACACAGTGTCTATGCTTAAGGCACAACTCTCCTAAACACGAGAGTCAAGTATACAACTTTAGAACACTTTCCCACCAGGAGACTCGAACCCTAGCCAGCACAGAAGCCTTCCAGAAACTGGCATAACAGGTACGCCTTAACCCTCTCCACCACCTGCTCAGACCCTTAAAAGAGATGGTAATTTCGGAGTATTTAAATACCACAAAGATCACCACCTCCCAAGAGCACTAGAGCAAGTGAGGGGTCATTTAGACGATAATTTCATCAAGTCCCTGTTAATATGGGAAGACACAGTGTCTATGCTTAAGGCACAACTCTCCTAAACACGAGAGTCAATTATACAACTTTAGAACACTTTCCCACCGGGAGACTCGAACCCTAGCCAGCACAGAAGCCTTCCAGAAACTGGCATAACAGGTACGCCTTAACCCTCTCCACCACCTGCTCAGACCCTTAAAAGAGATGGTAATTTCGGAGTATTTAAATACCACAAAGATCACCACCTCCCAAGAGCACTAGAGCAAGTGAGGGGTCATTTAGACGTTAATTTCATGCTCTTGGGAGGTGGTGATCTTTGTGGTATTTAAATACTCCGAAATTACCATCTCTTTTAAGGGTCTGAGCAGGTGGTGGAGAGGGTTAAGGCGTACCTGTTATGCCAGTTGCTGGAAGGCTTCTGTGCTGGCTAGGGTTCGAGTCTCCTGGTGGGAAAGTGTTCTAAAGTTATATATATATATATATATATATATATATATATATATATATATATATATATATATATATATATATATATATATATATATTAGTAGTAGGAAATAGCAGTGATAGCTGTAGTTACAACAGAAACAGTAAAGGCAGCAGTAATACCAATAGCTGTAGAAATGATAACATTGGATGCATAATCATTGTTAACAGAACCGCCGCCATCTTAGGTTCACAAACAGTGGCTGGTGCGACAACCTTACCTATCCGCCATCACTAGCTTTCATATATGTTATTCTTGGTTTTCCTGCTGTTAGTACGTCACGGCCCTCCTTTCTCCTACAGGTCGCGGAGGTGGCGGGGCCTTGAAGGTGAGCAGTCCAGGGGAACGAGCAAGGTTCCGCCATGACCCCTACCCACGCGTTCCCTCCTCCACCTAAACACCAGGTCGAGCCATGCTTGAAACAGCCAACGGTCATCTGCGCGGCGTATAACGGTCATCTGCGCGCGCATAACTGCCACATGCGCGCGCACATACGAAGGTAGAGGACGTCTTTTGTTTCTTTGTGGTTCAACGGGGCCAGGAAGTCAACTGCTCCTGACGAAAGCTACGTCACAGGTACAGGAGATAGATAATTTCCTCGTAAGCTCTTGTATATAAACAGGAGTTTCTTCAGAACGCAAGAATTCTTGGAGGATACTTTAGGACCCTCTGGTGGAAGTGCAAATTTTCTGCGATTTGTAGCTGGAAAAGAAGGTGTCCTTGATCTGAGTGATGGGTGTGTGTTATGTCAACGGTGTACTAATGATTGTAAGAGAGAAATACAAGGATTTGATGTCAAGTTATCGAAGTTGTGAAGCCTCCCAGCAATCCAAACTCGGCAAATAAATAAAAGGTCAATGGACGCATCCATTGGACGTGAAAACCACCAGCTTATATACTAAACTTTTTCAAGCTTTATATTACCCCTAGCCAGTAATGACATTATACTTTAAGATAACAAGGTCACCGATTTTTTAAAGTATTTGATTATGATTAAGTCTTTCTCGAAGTCTTGTATTTATCTTGATCAAGATAACGGTTCAAGTTGCAATTGGTCTTTGAGTGTGTGCAAGTGCAGATGTCACGGCCTACGGCAACAGACAGGAGGTTGGATAGTTTCATAAAGATTTGTGCAATAGTTAAACGGGTTTAAATTGTGTGCATTTGATTTCTAACTTTTCATTTTGATCGTTATATCTTTGAGTTCGAACTTAACTTCTTAGAGTTCGATCCTGACCTCAGTGAGTTTAATGTGAACTTCTGTGTGTTCGATCTAAACTTCTTTGAGTACGATCTTACCGCATCTGAACTTCCTATATAGAACTTCAGTCAGCAGGATTCTATTTTGTTACAGTAGAAGTATAACCTATAATTGTAGACGTCAGAACCGCTGCCGTTGAAGGATCAGGGCTGCTGTAGAAGCCTGGCCTGCCTCCTGCACACTTCAAGAAGGTACTTGCACTTATTCCGCAATTGTATATATACCTGAAGTGCAGACAGGTATCCAAGTGATGTAAGAGTCCTTGTGTCCTGTGTCCCTTCCTCTCCATCCTTTTCTTTTCCATATATCCTCCTCTTTATTCCTTTCACGCTTTTCAAATCCTACCTCCTTACATCCTCCCCTACTATCTCCCTCTCCATCCCTTCAGTCCTTTATCGGTACCCATGATTAGCGCCAAATCTCTCCTTCCTGAAGAATATATCTGAAGTTAATTCTATAAAACTTGCGATGCAATTCCTAACTGTATGTAAGCAACTGTTAAAGTGAACTTCTTCAGAGCCCAAACAGTGTTCATAGCCTCCTATGCACCCTTTGGTATTTTCGAGCAGAAGATCAAGTGTTATTTATATTCTCATGCTGAATTATTCGTTTGTTCTGACAAGCCTTTAAAAAAATCAGTTTCCCCTGATACATAGACCTGACAACGCTCCTCATTACTCTAGTCAAGTAGTCAATAAGGTTTTATTAACACTACTTATTTTTTTTCTGGCGGAAAGTGATGTATAGAATTTTGTAATTATACACCACGTGTGTTGAAATAGTTATTTTTTGTGGCTAGTAATTTATATTAGGTTTATAGCACAGAAATATTAAAATATTTAAATGACAGCAGACTCTAAATATAACAGAATGTGAGAGATGTATAATTAACTTTATATTAAGTAATCCCTAAATACTTATTATGAGTATTAATGCATGTATTAGGAAGTGTCCAGCAAGTATAATTCCTGAAAGATGGTTTGCGAGCAGTGACACGTGTGTGCACTTAGCCTCATAGAGTTGTGTTAAAAATTTAAATAATATTGTATTAGGGGTGTCACAAAAACACTTTCTCATAACAAATAATGATGGTAATTATAATTAAAGAGCTCAAGTATTTATTTTTTCTTTGACAGATTAGAACCATCCAATCAGTAATCTGAGCTTCACAATACCTGAAACCTTGACGATTCAGGAGTTACTCTAGATCTAGAGAAACATTCTCATTGGCTGATTGAGCCTAAACATTTTCAATAACCGTGCTCATGATTGGTTGATTCTATCTGATGATTAGCATAAGTCGTAATAGATAAGCAAAAAATTTTTTAATACTTTGCTTAGAATCACAGAAATGCAGCACCGAGGGTGAACCTAAAGCTTGGAACTCCAATTATAAAGCAAATGAATAGTCCACGTAATCACAGCATTTATATAATGTTTTCTGTTATTTTAAGCAAAAAACAAAATGAAACCGGTTTCTTTCTATAATTTAGACAAAATGACAATGTCTGTTGAATTCACAACCTTGTGTATTTCCCTTACCGTGTAGAATTAAGTTGAGAATTTTGCTGTTTCCGACCGTAAGTGTACTGGTCTTAACTCCTGTGTTCACTTGCGAAACATATATATCTTTCCTTAATTATGGAGGCTTTGTTTACGTTTACCCAGCAGTTCGTAAGCGCCGAAGCGCTATGAGATTGCCTATAACAATATTAACCTTGGGTTGCGAAGCTTCCAAAGTCGTTAATTGTTTAATAAATCTAAACTAAGTTGCCATGGTCAAGGAAAGATGTACAGGTTTCGTTAGTGGCTACGTAAATTTCTGATGTATCTTGGGCACTTGCCACCAGAATGATTGATGAAGATTAAGCTACCCGTAAGTATTGAGTTGCCCGTAATTGCCGCTAGGCTGTTAGTGTTATAGATTCAGCTACTCGGAACATAAGCTCCAAGGCGCACGGGTTATGGTACGCCCGTAGTGAACTTGTGTACCGCCAGGCCTTCTTAGTCAATTATCAGTTCAACGTACTGCAAACACAATCTTATATATAAATACGGGCTAAAAAGTCATATCGGTTAGCTGACTGTTGACGGATCTGTTTTGGAGGCTTCCTGTCTACCAGTTCTTGTCTGGCTTAACGGTTTGTGGATGGTAATCAGACCTATAAGTCTAGCATGCTGCCTGGCGACTGTCAGGCATTGCCTGTGCGTGGCGATGGCTGTAAGACATATCTATTAAAGAGTCTGACAGACGTATAAATGACCTGTCAAATAGTCTAGTTGAAGACTATGTAACAAAGACTCTTCTGAGTAGACCCTGACAATAACCTTCTACAAGTTACTTATTCCCTTCCCTTTCATTAATTGGTATATTTTGACGGCTCACCCCCTTCGCCTGTCTCAATGTACACGAACGCTCCCTGGATTGATTGTGGTGGATGGTATACACGAACGCTCCCTGGAGTTATTGAGGTGGATGGTATACACGAACGCTCCCTGGAGTTATTGAGGTGGATGGTATACACGAACGCTCCCTGGATTGATTGTGGTGGATGGTATACACGAACGCTCCCTGGATTGATTGTGGTGGATCGAATACACTAACGCTCCCTGGAGTTATAGTGGTGGATGGAATACACGAACGCTCCCTGGATTGATTGTGGTGGATGGTATACACGAACGCTCCCTGGATTGATTGTGGTGGATGGTATACACGAACGCTCCCTAGAGTTAAAGTAGTGGATGGAATAGACGAACGACTGACCAAAACAGCGGCCCAATATGTGTTTTGTAGCCATGTAGTAATAGGTTTATATTATAACAACAAATATATAGATGGCTTTTGTATATACAAAATGATAAGGAGATATAATATATATATATATATATATATAAACACACAAATATATATTTAATAAAATATTCGAAATAAAAATAATGTCAAGCTTTTAATCAAAATACTAGCCTATATATATAGAGCTAAAATGACACGCATGCCTTTCTCTTATTTGAATATATGGCCTCTACCGGCTAGTCATATAGGGTTCAATGTACCTTACCACGGACAGACTCAGCTCTTATTTATCACGCAATTCCTTGTGCGAACACCTGATAATTATTTTTTTGTAATTTTCGTGAATGTTTGGTAGCCTCTGACAACTGTGGGATCTTAGCGACGGTTAATTTATTTCATATAAGCAGTTGTTTTTAAAAGATTTGGAATCTGAACCTATTTGAAAGTTTTCCTGCTTATTTTTTCTATTCTTATTTTTATTCAAGTTTGTTTCATTAACTCTTTGCTATTTAGTATCTGGGATATTACCCTGTGTATCGCTGTGGCCTGACCACGTATTTTCACGTATAATTTCAAATTAGTTTGTCTTGGAACATAATATTTATGTCAGCCTACAGCAAACTATGTCATTATGTCGGAGGAGTAGAGCAATGGAGTCTTTTTTTCCAAAGTAAAGTGCGGGATCTGAATACCTCAACCCACGAATTACATATCATCTATAACTTTTCAGAGAATAGTACGGGGGTCTATACCTGTGCCATGTGACAATATACGGTGGACTCTAATAGCATTATCTTGTCATTTATCACATTTCTCAAAGAGGAATAAGCAGTTGTAGAGGTTTAAATCATTTATTCAACCTTTCAGATTAGATGATATAGAGAATTTAACCCCTTAACCTACATAATATAGTCAACACTTTATCCTTCTTTGCATGCAATAGATAATCACACTGCTTGCGTATAGAGGGTTCAATTGTTTATCTTAGCAGATTGAAGGAATGAGAATGTGAATACGTTTAATGAGTTATCAGTCCCTAAACTTACACCAACCCCCACCCCACATGTTTCGACCTCAGACACAACACTAATACAATCCTTAAAATAATACAATACTAAAACAATACAATGCTGAAATAATACAATACTTTAAATGCACCATTTTAAGTGTTATTTTTTTTATTTCTGACATGCACGGGTGTATTATATACGTTTCAATTCATGTTTTATCTTCTTTGTTTGATTATTCTCTTTTGTTGCTATATCCCTCTTCTCTTCTTTATCTACAACATTCTTCTCATTTATCTAAATATTGTTTTCTTCTTTATCCAAATAAATTTTTTCTTCCCTATCCAAATTATTTTTCTCTTTATCCATATCATTATTCTCTTATATATATATATATATATATATATATATATATATATATATATATATATATATATATATATATATATATATATATATATATATTATATCCTTCCTCTTTTTCTTCATTCACATCTTCTCTTCTTTATCCTTATGCTATTTCTTGTCTACTATGGGAATGACAAGAGAGATGTAAACATTCCTTCGGGCAGCGGCGGCTGTTGTTGTTGTTGTTGCGTCAGCGTCAACGGTCACGTCGGCGCCAGCGGCCGTTATTCAAATTCAAATTTATCTGTCAACGGCTTCTCGCCCTTCCTGAAAAATCCTGGATATGACAAGCGCTTGGCGTAAGGGGTCTTTGTTTCCAGCCAGGAGAGTCTTTGTTTGCTGCCTCCAGGGTCTTTCAATCTCACATTGAGGACTTTCTTTCCAACTTTAAGGATCTTTGTTTCTCGCTTCGAAGGTCTTTGTTTCCCGCCTTGAGGGGTTTTAATTTCCAGTCTTGGTAGTCTTTCTTTCCTACACTGGGAGTCTTGTTTTCCCACCATGAGGGCTTTCTTTCCAACCTTGAAGGTTTGTCTTTTGAGGGCCTTAAATTCACACGTTGTGGGAATTTAAGACCCCTGAAGGATGGCCTAAAATCAAGGATTTTATAACCTTGAGGGGTCTTTGTTCCCGCATTAATGGACTTGATTGCCGATTTGAGGAGCCTAATTTCAATTTATTAAAACCACAAGATTGCTCGAAATTTTTCTCCGCAACTCGGTTGTTAGTTAGGATAAAATATAATTAAAGGAATCGAACCCGTGTCACAAGTGCAGATATCGATCTGCCTCTATCTTTTATTCTCACGCTCACATCTCTCTCTCTCTCTCTTTCTCTATCTCTCTCTCTCTCTTTCTCTCTCTCTCTCTCTCTTTTCAGGGAATAACTTTTGCTTTCATCTGCAATGACGTCGGGCTAATTAAGTTTCTCTGTGATACTGCCAACAATATTTTCCTTTTTTCCCACCAATTATTTTTCCCGCCATTATTTCCCGCCAATATCACAAATTCTTTTTCTCGCCCTTCCCGCCTGATTGCTTGTCAAGTTGTTATTATCAAAAATTCCTTTACTATTAGGAATGACCACAATCCTTATTTGAAGAAGTACCTTTACTTTCAGGAAAGTGTTAACACTTTGAATTCATCTCCTTTAGTGTTTGGCCTTTAAGCACTACCGCTCTCTGGAAGGTTACTAAGGATACCAGAATAAATTACTGACCAACCACTAAGTATACTTTAGTCCTCCATAGTTCAGGACCAAGTAAACTCACTGTATACCCACCGAGAAGATCCCTTGATCTTCATTCCCAGGAGAATGTCAGTCGTCTGAGGACTAGTCAAAATAGTAATTTAATTAGTTTAGCTTCATTTTGCCGTTGTAAATTATGCAAGGACTCAACAACACTAGAACATAATAACTATCTCGTTTATGTTTAAAATATTTATACAATCACAGTAAAACTCATTTAACACGCCACATTTAACTCTGCGGGAGCGCGGCATGCAGCCTAGTTAATATAATCTAAAGTGATTGTTGTGTAATTATCTCAGCTATTCTGAAAATATAACGACACTTGATAGAAGACCTTGTGGGAAACCTCGATACAAGTCTAACGTATATATATATATATATATATATATATATATATATATATATATAATATATATATATATATATATATATATATATATACAGATAAATCTAGACTCAATAACACTGGTATGTGTGAATATTCATGTATTTGTATTATATTCAGTTTTTGTATAATACTTCTCCATGATGGGTAACCTAATAACCGGTTCAGATTCCAAGGTAAAAATCACACCAACTCAAACACAACATATATACACTAAATGGTGTTTTAATTTCTGTAATTATATAGTTTAAATTTTACTTTAGCTCTGGCTATTTTTTCCAGGGTTAAGGAATATTTGTCAGTTGGTCAGGAAACCATTTGTGTGGCCTTAGCAACCCTCCAGAGATTGAAAAACCAAAGTTTTTCCCAACTTGAAAAACCCAAAATTTCCTTATATTATATATATATATATATATATATATATATATATATATATATATATATATATATATATATATATATATATATATATATATATATATATATATATATGTCGTACCTAGTAGCCAGAACGCACTTCTCAGCCTACTATGTAAGGCCCGATTTGCCTAATAAGCCAAGTTTTCCTTAATTATTATATTTTATTTTATTTTTTTCTTATGAAATAATAAAGCCACCCATTTCATTATGTATAAGGTCAATTTTTTTTATTGGAGTTAAATTAACGTAGATATTTGACCGAACCTAACCAACCCTACCTAACCTAACCTAACCTAACCTATCTTTATAGGTTAGGTTAGGTTAGGTAGCCGAAAAAAGTTAGGTTAGGTTAGGTTAGGTAGGTTAGGTAGTCGAAAAAACATTAATTCATGAAAACTTGGCTTATTTGGCAAATCAGGCATTGCATAGTAGGCTGAGAAGTGCGTTCTGGCTACTAGGTACGACATATATATATATATATATATATATATATATATATATATATATATATATATATATATATATATATATATATATATATATATACTTCCTTAGATCTCTGGCCGTAAAGCCTAACAGCGCTTAAGTAAATATTTACCTAATGCCTTTTCTTCAATTATTACACAAATGCCTCTCCATTCGCGTTTGTCTTCAATACTTTAGCATAGTGTGTTTGTCTCTAAGTGGCAGTTCTTACTGCCATCGTAAACCTGCTTCTTAGATTGGATTCGATAGCCTGTTGATGTTTGAGTTCCACTGTACGCCCTTGTATTATTGAACTAATTTGATGTTTGCTTTAAGGCCTATCAACCTCTGGAGGGTTGTTAAGACCGCCAAAATAGATTATTGATCAACCACCAAGTATATTTAAGTCCTGAACAGAGTCCAAGACTAAGGTAAACTCTCAATGTATATATTTCGAGAAGATGGCATACCTATATCGCTGTATATATATATATATATATATATATATATATATATATATATATATATATATATATATATATATATATATATATGTCGTACCTAGTAGCCAGAACTCACTTCTCAGCCTACTATGCAAGGCCCAGTTTGCCTAATAAGCCAAGTTTTCATGAATTAATTGTTTTTCGACTACCTAACCTACCTAACCTAACCTAACCTAGCTTTTTCGGCTACCTAACCTAACCTAACCTATAAAGATAGGTTAGGTTAGGTTAGGTAGGGTTGGTTAGGTTCGGTCATATATCGACGTTAATTTGAACTCCAATACAAAAAATTGACCTCATACATAATGAAATGGGTAGCTTTATCATTTCATAAGAAAAAAATTAGAGAAAATATATTAATTCAGGAAAACTTGGCTTATTAGGCAAATCGGGCCTTGAATAGTAGGCGTAGAAGTGCATTCTGGCTACTAGGTACGACATATATATATATATATATATATATATATATATATATATATATATATATATATATATATATATATATATATATATATATATATATATATATTTATATATATATATATCCGTTTCTAAATTGTAATTTTGCGAGTGCTTTGGAGGACGTTCCGAGCCTATGGTATCGTGACTAAATTTTTATCAAATTTAATTCATAATTTCTATACATAAATGGTTTTGTTTTAATATATCACTAACAAGAATATTTATAACAATTATAAATAATAATATTATTAATAACAAACATAGCCGAATAAATTTTGTAACATTTTAATTATTCCTATTATTAATTTCTGTCATTATTAATACCTCAAATATTATTTATTTCGGTAGATAAGAAGTTTGTAAATATAGCTTTTCTCACTCATTATAATCATGATACATAGAATAATCTTAAAAAACTACACGTTTCTCTGTACAAGGAAGCAAATTGATTGGCTTTTTTACTAATCATCTGATCAAAAATCTGATCTAATCAACTTAAATTTCATACTTCAAATATTAAAACAATTTATTGTAGAGGTAAAAAGAGCTGATTGTCCGTTTTGCATATAAATCTGATCACAAAATAATTATTTAGGGATATATACCATTTTTCATCCACTCGGTTAAGTTGATATGAGCGTGGGTTTAGGGCTCTAAAGAACTCAAAATAGCCATGGATTATATTCCATTGAGATTAGTTATCATTTAATTAAGGCAGTGTCTGGATCAAAGCAAATTGTTCAGCTTCTTTATATCACCTGAAATCTCCTAACAGCATCCTCTGTTTTGATTCGACAACGTGTCAAATAATTTTTGTGTGTTTTGTTATCAGATGGTTTGGTGTTGGGCTGGAGGCCTATCAGCTTCTGGAAAGGTTATTAAAGTCAACACAATAGCTTACTGACCAACTAGCAAGTATATTTTAGTCCTGAATATAGTCCAGGGGTCAGATTCACGAAGCAGTTACGCAAGTATTTACGAACGCACACATCTTTCCTCAATCTTTGACGGTTTGGTTACATTTATTAAACAGTTTACAAGCATGAAAACTTCCCAGTCAATTGTTGTTATTGGTATAAACAGCCTCCTGGTGCTTCGGAGCTCATTAACTGTTTAATAATTGTAAACAAACCCGCCAAAGAGTGAGAAAAGATGTACAGGTTCGTAAGTACTTGCGTAACTGCTTCGTGAATCTGGCCTCAGGTCTAAACTAGGAGGGTATATACACCGAGAAACAGGGTATATATACGCGGTGTATATATTCTTGGTGAGCAACCCACGTATTTTTCACCAGGGGATACTTTGAGTAGGTATAGTCTATAAGTATTTTTTCTAGACATAGTCAAATATCCTAGTATTGTAAACATTGCTAAACTAAGACGCTTCTGAAGCTCCTTCAACAAACTTTCTCCTTTGACCCATATCATGTGAAGGTCAGCTGATCAAAACGTACTGACGTGGCAAGGGAAAAACGCCCTTAATGAACAACACGACAAAGG